TAACTAATTTTTCACTTGCTCTGCTGGTAATAGCTTCCTCGATGCCTCCAGGAGCAAGCAGCCATTTTACTAGACTATCAGCACCTGTCTGTCACCTGACTTTGAATTACATTTTGCAGACAGAGCAAGAGCAATACTGCTTTCTTTTCTTCATCTTCCAAGAAGCTAAACTAAGAGAAAATGGGATATGATAAAAGAGCCATACTTATTGCATTTTTATTTATTTCTACTGTGTTTCCCTGAAAATACAACCTGTCCTGAAACTAAAGCCTTGCCACATTTTTTGCGTGGGCAAAAATATAAGCCCACCCCCGAAAATAAACCTTCTGGACAACTCCCCACCCGCCTCTGGTTAGGTAGAGCACCACTCACCGACATAGCGGTATCCTGAAGGCGCCAAGCCACAGGAGAAAGCTGGGGAGGGAATGCACTCACATTGCTTGCCGCCTTCGGGATACGCTAGGTTGGGGAGTGGCATTCTGCCTGGCCGGAGGCGGGTGTTGCCCGGCTCTCCCTGCAGCAGCAGCCGCCACACTCCGAGCATAACGTCTTCTCCAGTTCCAAACTCCCAAACTCAGCTGCAGAGTCTTCCAGCAGCGGCCACTCTAGGAGTGCGATCTATGGTTGTGGGCTGGCTGCTGGAAGACTCTGTAAGAGAGTCTTCCGTACTGAGAGTCTTCCAGCAGCCAGCCCACAACCATAAAGCGCACTCCTAGAGCGGCCACTGCTGGAAGACTCTGCAGCCAAGTTTGGGAGTTTGGAACCGGAGAAGACATTATGCTCGGAGCGCGGCGGTGGTGGCAGCTGCTGTAAGGGAGAGCTGGGCCCAGACATGTTGAGGCTAGGAGGCATGCCTGCTGGGGGCGGAACAGACGCTCATGCAACACCCTTCTCCAGCCGGGCAGAGCTCCATGCACTGACCTAGGGGTATCCCGAATGTGCCAAGCCGCAGGAGCTGGGGAGTGGGCAGAGCGCCACGTGACTTGGCGCCTTAGAGATATTCCCTAGGTCAGTGAATGGCACTATGCCTGGCTGGAAAGGGGGTTTGCTTGGCGTCTGCTTGTGAGCTTGGTCACCTCATGGCTACTTTGCCCCTGAGGCTGTGCCTGGCTCTTCAGGAGCCAGTTCGCAAGGGAGCAGTTGCCCAGCAACCCCAAAACAATAAGCCGTCCCCTATATGTAGCCCAAGGCCATATTTTGTAAGTAAAAAGAAAATAAGACCCTGTCNCTGATTTTTCGGTTCAAGTTCTTGATGCTGATCACATTAGCGTGTGCTGCCATGACAGTCATATTTTTCATTTTCAGTCAGGTGAGAAATCTAAAATGACTACGGAAAATTATTGCTCTCTAGTAGCAATGTGTTCTGCTACTTTGTTTTTTATATCCTGAAGCAACGTATCAACAAGGGATCTTTTCATCTCTTTATTTCATAACTGAGGGAAAAGAGGAAGCCTCATAGATTTCTTTCCCTGGTTTAACATTAAGCCCAGCTGTTTTTCTTGTTGTTGGCTCACTGCAGATAGGGAGAACATTGCGTTAAAGCCATGCAGTGGAATGAAGGCCAGAAATAGATGTTTTGGAGGAGATGAAAGTCTCTCTACCAGAGATGAAAATCATTGACTTTTATTTGCTAAGTCTACACTTACGTCTTCACTGCTGGATTATATATCAACTTCTTATCCTGTTTAGGTGTCTGAAGGTCACTGGAAATGGGGCGACCTTACATTTCATTGGAACAGTGCCTTCTTCACAGGGATTTATGGAATGTGGAACCTATATGTCTTTGCCCTGATGTTCCTCTATGCACCTTCCCATAAAAATTACGGTGAAGATCAGTCAAATGGTGAGATGCACTTTCCTGTAGTTGTGATTCGGTTGTACTGCAGTGCAACTAATCAGCCAATTAGGACTTCGGCATCTTTAGAAGATCCCTAGCATTATATGCATAGCTCTGTTGATTATGGGTTATAACTGCTAATAAATTCCCCAAGTTAGTGTGGTTATTTGATTTGATTGATACCCATTTGCATGGTCAGAGCAGCAAATAATGTAACAATAAAAGTAATCATAAAAAAAGCAAAAAGTAACATAGGTTCAGCTAATCTCCTGACCCCAGGGCCTGGGAGAACAGTAAAGTCTTAAGGGCTTTTTGAAAAGGAAACTTAGATTGTGGAAACACATACTAAGGAAAGAATAGAAAAGAGATTTCTGGATCTGAGAATTTATTTCCCCTCCCCATTTTGATTACACATGGTATAACCCATCCACAACAGCTTGTTGCACAATCCTTAATCAAAATAAATCTTGTACTAGAACCTGAATTAATTGAAAGATTATTTTCAGATTCTTTATATCCTGAGATTTATACACACTTATTAAATGGAAGTCCTACTGCACAATGTTTATTTTTAATAAAAATCTCCTATTGCACGTTTATTTTTATTAAAAATAAATGTGAAATAAGACTTCCATTTGTGTGCTTCCCCCCCCCCAACCACAGCCCTGCTTGTTGTTAGAAAGAGGGACTGTTACTGAACAAATATGTAGATGCGTGTAGAATTGCACAAAGTGGAGAAATACACATTTCCCCCATTTAATTAATGGAAACTATGTCCATTCATGAAACTTCTCCATTGGAGTCTGCTTATTTCTTTCTGAATGCTAAGGTAATTTTGCGATTAAACTATCATTCCAGTTACGCATTCATCTCAAATGCAATTTTATGTTTTCAGGTGATTTGGGAGTTAATACTGGAGAAGAACTTCAGCTCACTACTACCATCACTCATGTGGATGGACCAACCCAGGTTTACAAATTGGCTCGCAAGGAGGCCCAGGAATAATCACTTCAGCACAATTTTACTTGTGCCTAAATACAAATTATACAGCATGATGGTTGTGTTTTCTTGCAAGGATTTGTTCGGAATCATCTGAAGGGGGTGCACTGCAGAAAATAATGACTATCTGGCAAGAACTGATGGGATGCTTATTATCCATGTATCTTTCCTGGGGAGAATATTTTGTCAAGTTTGAATTCTTTTAATTCTTCATCTTGATCAATATTCCCCAATCTCAAAATATGTTGGGTGTGCAATGCCCACAGCCAGCTAAGCTAACCAGTTTGGGAAAGACCAGTCTTGAGTATTAGCAGGAGTATTAGCAGGAATGAGGTGGGAGGATTGGTTGCTCCACAAGTATATCCTTCTTACCTTTGGGTGTATTTCACTACTTACCAACACTCCAGCTGTTGCTGCTGCTGCTGCTATGGATGTTCTTGGGAAACTAATTGAAATACATTATATGCTTCCTAAGTCAAGGTTTTATACAACAGTCCCAGTGCATATGTCTGGAACCAATTTAGTTATTTGCATCATATGTAGCCAGTTCAATATTTACATACTTTAATGAATGTGTTCATGACTTTTTTTTTTTCATAGTCTAGTGTAACACTGCCTTTTCTAAAGTTTGGTACAAAAAGAGGACATTTGAAACCTCTGTTGATGTATGAANTTTTAAAACAGGGCTGTCAAACTCGTGGCCTGCAAGCCAGATGTTTCATGTGCTGGCCACGCCCAGTTTAGTGAATGGGGGAAAGTCCTGATACATCACATGACGTCGCTGTGATGACACAAATTTGACACCCGTGTTTTAAAAACTGAGTCAACTTCATGCCATTGCTAGAATTGTCCTAGATACAGTAGGTAAACAGACAGACAAACATATAGAGTCAGGAAGAATATTGGATGTGTCTGTCCCATCCCTGGTACCTCTATATTTTGTGGTGGTTTGCAGCTTCCATCAGTGCAAGGTCTGTATTGGCCTTTGTAACATGTCAAGTAGGTGGAGCCAGGGATCATTTTAGAGGCGTTTTACCTGAATATTACATAAAGCTTATTGGAACAACTGATGAAAGTGGAAGAGTTTTTGAAAATGTTACTATTTGTTTCAGGATAATCTTTACCCTTGGGATCTCTATGACTTTCATAAACCTTCCAGTAGAGTGGTTTTCTATTGGTTTTGACTGGACTTGGATGCTGCTTTTTGGAGATATTCGTCAAGGGATCTTCTATGCTATGCTTTTGTCTTTTTGGATCATCTTCTGTGGAGAGCATATGATGGTAGGTGCTCTCACATGAGCGTGTGAATATACTATTCTAGGATTCCCCCCCCCCTCCCATTCTCCATTGTTATATATTTTAGAGTTTGTTTTCATTCTGCAAAGCAATTCCCCACTTTCTAGCACTCCCATTATTCTCAGAAAATAAGCCATAAATTGGAGCTGGGTGGGGATTATGAGAACCGTAGTCTATTACAGCTGGAAGTTATGAACATAGGAAGGGCTTTATTACCAAAATGAACATCAAATTAATAATTTCTTAGTGGAATAAGATTTTATATAAAAGAAAGTGCTGGAAAATGAGACTCAATAGCCTATCATTTTTATACTGTTTGGATCAACCTTAGCTGTAATTGGCTAAAGCTGACAGAAACGCTACATCCTTGCATTTTCTTCTAGGAATCAACATGTACAGGGTTGTTGGGGATGGGGAGTCATTCCATAGTCTTATTTAGCTTTACTAAAGCATGAGAGTTTACATTTTATGGTAAGACATGTCCATGTCTTGACCCTTGTTCTAATATAAAGCATTATTTCAGAATACAAATCCTTTGCTACAATTCCCGTTCTAATTATACCTGCGAAATCAATATGTGTTACTTTTTTTCTCCTCTAATAATGATTTTATTATCTTCTTATTTAATCTGTTTTAGGATCAGAGTGAACGAAATCGTTTTGCAGCCTACTGGAAACAAGTGGGACCAATAGCTGTAGGTGCTTTCTGTTTGTTTGCCTTTGACATGTGCGAGAGGTAATTAGAATGCCTTCTTTTTCATCGCTTTTGTAACTTAGCTTTACTCTGGATATTGAATTTTTTTTAAAAAATTTACAGATAGTCCTCAAGATACCACTGTAATGGAGCTTGCCCATTACAGTCATAAAATAATACATTTTGTTTCTTTCGTATAAAGAAAATTTTTGTAAATAATAAAATACATACTTGTTGGATAGTACTAAAGTGAGTAGTACCCAGCCTAAAAATCTTTTTCTTCCCATAAGTAAATGTAAATATCATACTAACCTCCTCTTCTGTTGTAACACCAATAAGCTTTGAATAAGAGCAGAGGGGCACAGGATTGCATCCTGTCTCATCACACATTTTGCTACTGCAAGTTAGAGAAGAGAGGAAAAGGGTAGAGACTTACAGTTATTATATTTTTCTGGTTCATTGTTTCTGGTAGTATATAGTTCCTCCCCAGGTTGTTTCAAACAAATAAAAAAAGAAACCAATTTGAATCAAGCTAATAATAAAACTGTTCTTTTTTATTTATCTGCAATGTGAATAGCATGGAAATAGACAGTTGAGCATTTTTGGTTCTGTGTAGTGAAATATACTTTTTAAAGCAATTAAAAGAACATCACTCCTCCCTTTCATAAAATTCACAAGGGCTCTTTAGACATTGTTCCTCTAGTCTTCCCAAATAGTTATTTTTACACAGGCGGTTTGTATAATTTGATCTACTGATTTTCTTTTCCAGAGGAGTACAATTAAAAAATCCATTCTATAGTATCTGGGCTACAGATGTTGGCACAGAGTTGGCTGTATCCTTTGCATTTTATTTCATTCAGAACCATTTGTTATCTTCTGTGTTCTGCCCCAAAGCTTCTGAAATTTGGGAAGGTGATTCTAATAAACTGATAGGGTTTTTTTTCCATTTAAACTTCATGGAGAGTTTAAGCATCTTTTGAAATGGTTTCATGAATTTAAGGTCATGCATACACATGAGGATGTTCTTCAAAGTTTACTTTCTGTGGATGTCATTAGAGCAAGTATGTGTAACATTTATTCAAGGCTGCATTACTTCTCCTCCCTTACCATCATGGCATAGGAATGACTTTGGGCTTATATTTGCCCATAGTCAAGTATACTTTTTGTTCATGAACTCCAAAACCTTTCCAGATTCAGACATTAGGAAATGGAAGCTGAAATCACCCAACACCAAATGATGGAGGGTAGACTTCATAATCCAACAGAACACAAACATTTAAAGACCAATATCTCCCAGGTAGATGTCATTGCAATTCTACAGATCAGTGTTTCCACCTGCTGGTTGGCATCAAGGTTGCTATGTCATGAAATTCAAAAGGATGGAATTTTATGAGGGTGACATCACCGCCCTTGTGCAACCAGGTTTTAGTAATGTAAGTTATCAGATCTGCTTCTTCAACCCCATTCAAGTTATCCGTGAACAAGATCTTATCATAGATGAACCTTGAAATTTCTGTATCAAGCTGAGGCCACCAGAGATCCTACTTGGGAATGAGGCCACAGGGCAGAAACAGAAACTGGTACCAAATTACCCGTTCCCCTTCCAATGGAATGGCTTATTGCACCCTTCCTCATTTCCCCTGACCTTTAGTATTTGATAAGTTCACTTTTCCCATCAATATCAATATTACACCATGGAATATCGGGCTTAACCACAACCTACTTTTATCCCCTTAAATGTGTTTCTCTCCTTGCTCAGAAGGTCAGCAGTCTGATAAAGGTGCAAACACACCCATCAAATTATCTATTTCCTAAATTCATACAATGGCAGGAGCCATCCCTGAATAATCTCTCACTATAGATAGTCCTTGCTTAATAACTGCCATGTACAACAACTGTTTGAAGTTATGCTATGATGGTGCTGAAAAAATAATTTTTTGACCAGTCCTCATACTTACTTACTGCCTCAACATCACTNCAACTGTTTGAAGTTATGCTATGATGGTGCTGAAAAAATAATTTTTTGACCAGTCCTCATACTTACTTACTGCCTCAACATCACTGTGGTCCCATGATTGACATCCAAGCACTTTGCAGCCAGCAGGCATTATAATTTATCACTGTCCTCATGGTAACATGATCACATTTGCATGCTTTACAGCTGATCAAGTCAACAGAGAAGCCAGCAGTAAAATCACAAGTTGTGGTGTGATGTCTTGCTTAATGTCCTGCTTGACAACCACAGGAACTACCTGCAGTCTTAGAACAATATTTTCTCTGGCCAGTGTGGCTTATTCTTTCACTTTAAACCAGGGCCATCCTCAAGCTCCCCATCTCTTATCCTGAATGGGATCCAAAGCCAGGTACATACTAGTACATGCAACCACAGATTTTATTCTCAAAGTGATATAACTGTTCTGGTTAGGACACTGGCACCCCAGAAGGTCCTTCGATATGACCTACCCTCTCACATATCAGGATTTAGCTGCCCATTCTTCCTTTCAACACCAGTGCCTCCCCAAATCTCACCACTCTTCTGTCAGCAGCTGGCCAGTTTCGTTCCTTCAATTCTCCATTACCAATCTTAGTGAAGGAGAGCCCGAGATCTCCATTCAGCATCTCCTTCTCTTCTGAGTTTCTTTGCCATTAATGCTCAATGTGAAGCATGAAATAATGCTAAGTTACAAAGTCATGGCAGTTCAAACCTCGTAACAAGTGTTTTCTGAAGTTTCAGGATGGTTAGTTGTTTTTTTACCCAGGATTTTTGTATGGAACACAAATGTTAGGACTCCTTGTTCTAGCTTATGTAGTTATTTATTTACATTTATTGGCTGCCCAACTCCAGGGAACCATGAGGGGTGTAGAAAACTAGGGGGGGGGGACATAAAAACAGCTGAAAACATAGCTTCAGACAGATAGACCAGACTAAAATGACTCAATAAACAAGAAATTACACAACACAAAATAATGACCTTAAACAAATAACAAGCATCAATCCCAGGCCTGGGATCAATGGAAGGTTTCCAAAGTTTCTATCTTTATCTGGGGGAGGGACAACAGAGAAGAGACACTATCTAGGACAGGGATGGTCCTTTTNCAAGCCAGCATTTGCACTCTGACCTATTCCACAACGTAGATCCTAAATGAAGGCTCTTACTTGTATCTGCTCAGATTTACTTCCAGTTTTCACTCAGTAGCATTCTGGGATCCTTTTTTCATTTCATCTTCTAAACCAGAATGTGGCTTGGACAGTCAGAATCTACACAAACACATCTAAAGCTACCATTGCCAACTCATTTCAAGCAGTCAGCAAACCATGAGCCAGCTCCAAGTTCCCCCTGAAACCCAAATGGATCCATTATACACCATGGGGAAATCATGAATAGTCCAGCTTCCTTGCAAAGAGGGGATGCTATGATAACTCTAAGGATAACAGGGAGTGATCTGTCTATGTCAAGGCACTGATGGCAATATCCCTCAAACTGCATATCATTCCTTCAAAACAAAGACCAGTTCTAGCACATGGCCATTGTATAGGTCAAGCCTGTTATCTAAGTCAAGGCTGTGGTGGCCATGAACTCCTGACTGTCTCTGAGTCTGTATCCAAGAAAAGCAAGCTGAAACCCCCAAAAACTATAGACTGCAACACCAGCCCAGATGTTGCATCAAGCAGTATGGGCTGGAAGCTGATATTAGTAGCAAATCCAACTGATCCCTAAGGCCCAACCGCACAAGATTACTCCAGTTCTGACAACTGGAGTTCTGCAGTTCTGACAACCCCAGTCTCATCCCCCACAAAAAACAGCAACCCTCTTCCAGCTGTGGGGCCACAGCTGGCACCAAACCCAGTGGCCTGTGTATGGGCACATTTCAGAGAGCACCCACCCTGTGCCCAGCCCAGCCACATCTCCGTAATATACTAAGTAAGTCCTGGATCTTTAATCTAGGATAAGTGAGATTTATAAGAGACGACTCTGGCATTCAAAAATAACAACAACAATAAAGCAGTGGATAAACTCAGTAACAATAGGCATGGAAGGGCTTCATTCAGAGGTTGTGGGGGCTGGTGGCTTTTCAAAAGAGACTTGTCTTCAGATTTCTCTGAAATCGTATAGGGCCTTGATGGCGAGTCTATGGCATGGGTGCCACAGGTAGCACGCAGAGCCATTTGTCAGGTGTTGCCCTGTCAGCCAGCCAGCATGTGCCAGCTGATTTCAGCCTTTAGAAGCCTCCAGAGCACAAAAAGAGTCCCTACAGGCAAACCGGAAATTCGGGAACGTACTTCTGGGTTGCTTATAGGGCCAGTTTTAGTATTTAGTATTTCTTATT